GGATTCTGTAGTATCATTCACGGTATTTTCAAGCCCAACTAGCTCCTTGATAATCGTTATTCTGAACTCTTTGAAAACAAATAACCAAACAAACAAAACCTATAAGCCTATGTCCAAAGAAAAAGAAAAAGAAGAAAATAAAAAGGAGACTGATTTAAAAAAAAAAAAGATTAAAGGAAACAACAACAAAAACAAACAAACAACAACAACAACAACAACAACAACAAAAAAAAAACAAAAAAACTGAATCCAAAGGGGGGAAAAAAAAAAAAAAAAAAAAAAAAAAAAAAGAAAAGAAAAAAGAAAATAATAGAAAGAAAGAATGCCTGTTCCTATTTCCACCAGAACTGTACTGACTCTTTGGAGCACTCTATGGTCAGCAGACTTGGTACATGCATGGGGACTGCGTTCATCTTCTGTGGGAGAGACCGACTGAGCTTGCCCACAGTCAGACCTGCCCTAGTAAAGATGCCCCTGCCAGGAGCAGGGTAGCAAGGTTTGGTGTAAGCATCTCCAGCCAACACTAGGGGTGCAGTGTTACTCACTGAAGTCTAACCATGTTGGTGACAAGGGGGAAAGTGGTACCACCCCACCTTCTAATCTGGGTAGGGCATCCCTTGCCTACCACTGTTCAGGAAGCCCTCATAGAAAAGCAAATAATTTCCATTTTGTGTCCCAGGCCTCCATCAGATCCCTGCCCTCACCCCTTCTATGTGCAAGGCTGTTGGCACACTGGGCTCCAGTGTTCTGCATTTAATCTCTGGCATTTGGCTGGGATTCAAAACTCCATTTTTTTTCCTTCCCCATGTGATTTATTTTCTTTATTTACTTACTTCTTTTTTCTTTGTTTTTGGATTTGTTTTTGTTTTTGTTTTTGTTTTATTTTCAGCATAACAGTATTCATTGTTTTTGCACCACACCCAGTGCTCCATGCAATACGTGCCCTCTCTAATACCCACCACCTGGTTCCCCCAACCTCCCACCCCCTGCCCCTTCAAAACCTTCAGATTGTTTTTCAGAGTCCATAGTCTCTCATGGTTCATTTCCCCTTCCAATTTCCCCCAACTCCCTTCTCCTCTCTAACTCCCCTTGTCCTCCATGCTATTTGTTATGCTCCACAAATAAGTGAAACCATATGATAATTAACTCTCTCTGCTTGACTTATTTCACTCAGCATAATCTCTTCCAGTCCCGTCCATGTTGCTACAAAAGTTGGGTATTCATCCTTTCTGATGGAGGCATAATACTCCATAGTGTATATGGACCACATCTTCCCCATCCATTCATCCATTGAAGGGCATCTTGGTTCTTTCCACAGTTTGGCGACCGTGGCCATTGCTGCTATAAACATTGGGGTACAGATGGCCCTTCTTTTCACTACATCTGTATCTTTGGGGTAAATACCCAGTAATGAGATTGCAGGGTCATAGGGAAGCTCTATTTTTAATTTCTTCAGGAATCTCCACACTGTTCTCCAAAGTGGCTGCACCAACTTGCATTCCCACCAACAGTGTAAGAGGGTTCCTCTTTCTCCACATCCTCTCCAACACATGTTGTTTCCTGTCTTGCTAATTTTGACCATTCTAAGTGGTGTAAGGTGGTATCTCAATGTGGTTTTAATTTGAATCTCCCTGATGGCTAGTGATGATGAACATTTTTTCATGTGTCTGATAGCCATTTGTATGTCTTCATTGGAGAAGTGAAGTGTCTGTTTTGGCTTGTTTTTAATTTTTTTTAATTCAATTTAGTTAACTTATATGTATTATGAATTTCAAGGGTAAAATTAGTGAATCATTCTTATATATGACACCCAGGGCTCATTACATCAAGGTCCTTCCTTAATTACCTTAATTACCTTAATTACCCAATTACCCCAACTTCCCACCTACCTGCCCTCAAGCAACTCTTAGTTTGTTCTCTATACTTAAGAGTCTCTTATGGTTTGTCTCCCTCTCTATTGTTATCTTATTTTCCTTTCCTTCACCGCAATGAGAGAAATCACACAGTATTTGTCTTTCTCTGACTGACTTATTTTGTTTAGTGTAATGGTTCCATCCACGTCATTGAAATGGCATGATTTGTTTTTGATGGATGAATAATATTCCATATATATATATATTTTTTTCTTTATCCATTCATCTATTGATCTGGGCTCTTTCCATATTTGCACTACTGTGGACGTGTTCCTATAAACATTGGGATACATGTGCCCTTCAAGTCACTACACATATATCCTTTGACTAAATACCTAGTAAAGGGTGGCTCTATTTTTAACTTCTTGAGGAACCTCCGACTTTTTTCCAGAGTGGCTGTACTGCATTCCCACCAACAGTGTAAGAGGGATTCCCTTTCTCTGCATCCTTGCCAACATCTTTTGTTTCCTGAATTGTTAATTATAGCCATTCTGACTGGTGTAGGGGGTATCTCATTGTGGTTTTGATTTGTGTATCTCTAATGAAGAGTGATGTTGAGCATCTTTTCATGAATCTCTTTGTCATTTTTATGTCTTTTTTGGAATGTCTCCACACATCTTCTGCTCATTTCTTGACAGGATTTCTTGTTTTTTGGGATGTTGAGTTTGATGAGTACTTTATAGATTTTGGATAGTAGTCCTTTATCTGATAGGTCCTTTATGAATAATTTCTCCCATTCCATCTTTTGCATTTTAGTTTTGTTGGTTCCTTTGCTGTGCAAAAACTTTTTATCCCAATGAAGTCCCAAGAGTTCATTTTTCCTTTTGTTTCCCTTGCCTTTAAAGATGTGTCTAGGAAGACACTGTTGTGGCTGGGATCAAAAAGGTTGCTCCCTTTGTTCTCCTCCACAGTTTTGATAAATTCCTAGCTCACATGTAGGTCTTTCATCCATTTTAAGTTTATTATGGTATTATGGTATGAGGAAATGGTCCAGTTTCATTCTTCTGCATGTGGCTGCCCAATTTACCTTCGTTGAGACCATTTGTGGAAGAGACTGTCTTTCTTCCATTGGATATTCTTTCTTGCTTTGTCAAAGATTGCTTGGCCATAGAGTTGAGGGTCAAAACTCCAAATCCTGGGGTGCCTGGGTAGGTCAGTAGATTAAGGGACTGCCTTTGTCTCAGGTCATGATCCAAGGATTCTGGGATCAAGCCCTGTATCAGTCTCCCTGCTCACCTGGTGTCTGTACTTTTCCCTCTGCCTCTGCTTCTCCCCTACCCCACCACACCTCTGCTCATGCATTCTCTCTCTGTCTCTCTCTTTCAAAAAATAAATAAATAAAATCCTTAGAAACAAAATAAATAAACTCAAATCTTAAAGGACCCATCTCAGTGTGGACTTGCTCCCCTGCCCCTGAGGAGGATCTTCCCATGCTGACACTTCAGAGTTTTAAAAAATCTGTGTTATAGGATTGTTGTAGGGAAAACACATAGTTCCATGCTCAGTGTCTAGAATATAGTAAACGCTCATAAAATGCTACCTATTAACAAACATTATGCACCCAGTTCTGTAGAGGAAACCGAGGACTCAGGGAGGCAAACCCAGAGTTACATCCAGAATTGCAAGCTAGGCTGTGCCACTTCCAAGCTCTCTCCATAATTGCCCCTCATGTGCTAGGTGCAAAGCTGGTACTGATCCAAGCAAGGGAAGGAGTCAGGCTCCAGAGTCCCTAGGCCTGGGCCAGAGATGGACAGAAAGCAACCATAGAAATGGAGGAAAGTTGAGAGGCATGGGTAATGAGGTTACACACACTTGGGTTTGGACAGGAGTCCAGGACTTAGGGGGAAATGGAGAGAACTGTGGCCCCATGGGTTATGTAATAAATCTCCTGTCACAAGGTAAGCCACAGGAGGAGGGTGTAGGAATAACAAGGTAGATGGTGAGGAACAAGACAGGAGGAAAAGCTGCCTTCCAAAGAACTCCTGACAAAAACATCTTGTTTTCCTTTCAGAGTTATGAGCTTGGAGTCAATTTGGGTAAAGAGAATCAGGAATAAAGTGAAGCTGAGATACCTACTTGTCCTCCTCAGATGTGCTTTCATATGCTCTACATGAGCGGGTCAGTGCCCATCCCTCATCCTACCACTCTTCACCTGGTGAATTCCTATTCACCCTTCAGGATCCCATTCTTGTTTTTAGCTGTCTCCTTCCTGGGTGGGCCCACCCCCATTCATTCTTTCACTACAGGCCTTATCATGTTTTCCTGTACTATGTTAGTTCTCTGCCTTTACCTCCCAGACTGTGAGCTCAGGAAACATTTGCTGAGTGCATGAGTGAGTAAATGCATAACCAAATGAGCATTCCTGGGAGGACCTTGGGAAGGGGATGATTATCCCCTTAGAGAAGGAGAACCTGAGGCTCAGAGAGTATGACTGGCTGGCTTCATATGTCATCAGCGAGCCCTGCACTGGGCCTCCTGAGTGTGAGGTTGGGGATCTGCCTGCAGGCACAGTCAGCGCACATCACTGAATCATGGAGTATGACAAGTGTGGAGAATAATGCAGAGGCAGCTGAGGCAAACAGTTTGGAAACCCTGACTGTAATCCCAGCTGACACTCTCAATGGTGGTTTTCCTCTGGTCACATCACTTTAGCTCTCTGTAAGTGTTTTCCTCTCAGAAATGGGATAATAATCAAACCAAACCCACTTCCTGAATATTTGGTAATCTAGACTGTGAAGTTTTTGCAGACAGGATTCATGTCTGCTGTCAGGATTCATGTTTGCTGGCAGCTGTGTCCCGCATATAGCACCTGCCTGGCACAGAGTTGGTGCCCCTGAAATATTTGTTGAATAACAGGGAGAGGAGAAAGTGGGAATGTGCCTAGCCATTATCTCTGTCTGCTGAGAAAGCTTTCCTCCCACAGTTTCCCATCCTCACAGTTAATGAACTTTAGAAGTACAGTCTAAGCCCTGCCCTCACCCTTCACCCTCCCTCCAGGTGGGCAGGGCCATCCTCCCCTGACTGTCTGGGCTGGGATACTCAGGGAAGGTCAGCAACAGTCAGGGACAGTCAGGGAAAGTCAGCACCATGAGTGTCTCTGTGCTGGATGTCATCAGATTCCTGGGCGGTGTCTCTGGGCTCCTGCAAGTGGCCTCCGTGCTAGGGTTGGTTTTGCTGCTGCTCAAGGCAGCACAGCTATACCTGCACAGGCAGTGGCTGCTCAGAGCAGTCCAGGAGTTCCCGTCCCCTCCTTCCCACTGGCTCTTCGGGCACATGCATGAGGTAAGAGGGGCTGGAGGGGAGTGGGAAGGCTGGGCATCCAGGGCTTTGGAGCATCATCCTGGTCATCAGATGTATCCCACATAGGTTTCTCGTGTGACTAGCACATGTGCCTTGGGGGAACACCCAGCTTACTGCTCAGATCTTGGCTCCTCATTCCACTCTCAGGAGCTCCCTGCTGGAAGGAAGCCTTTGCTGGTGCCCTCAGGCTGGTCTCACCCTTTTTCCTTAAGTAGATCTGCAGGTTGTAATGCAGTCCTCCTTCCTGATTGCGCACCGGAGAATGTGGCAAAAATAAGCGCTCTGCAAGAGAAAGGGAGCAGGGGTTGACAGTAGAGAAGACTGTCGCCGCAAACAACTGCTCAGTCCCGTATTTATTAGAAACAAGATAACAACTAACAAAGGAGCAGAAGAGGGTTATACATTAACCATATGCTTTGTAGATAAATAAGAAAGAATATGAGTTATAAATTTTTACAAATCTTATAGATAAGCAAGGAGAGTAGGATATATATATATATATATCGTTAAGCAGTATAGAATTTATGATTGAACAAGAACATTTAAGGGGATTATCTTGATAACTGATTAACGGTAGGCTGTCTCTGAGGCAGGGGAGTAACATCCAAAAATGAAGCAGGCGGTATTCCACCCTGAGCAGGGCCAGGAATTCCCGGCTGCTTGGCTTCCAAGACGTAAATCATCCTCTCCCCAAGAGACCTGTTGCTAATGCATGTTCTTCTTAAGGTAACATTTAAGCATGCTTGCCAGGCTAGTTCAATTTCTCGTGGGTTATATTTTAAGCACTACCTTGTTTTGAGAGACGGTTACACTGCACCTTAAGGATGATGGCTGTTCCTTCCTGAGTCTTCCCCTCCTAGCTGAGGAGCCCGAGCTCCTCTCTCAGAACACCCTTCCTGATGCTCCCCTGTCCTGGCCACTCAATCCCATCCTTGAAGCCTAGCCCTGAGCTGCTTGGGAACACAGACAGCAGAGGGGTTCACAGCTTATGGAGACCATAGACAGGAATCGGGGGTCAGGTCCCTGGAAAACAGGCTCACCTGCCAGATTGGGGGTCATGTCCGGTGCAAGGAACCAACCAGCTTGGTTTGCCTGAGACTATGAGATGTTCCAGACTGGTGATTTCAGTGTTAAAACCCTGACAAGTTACTGGCACTCATGAGAGAGAAGTTTTCCAGGATGGGGCAGATAAAGAGTATTGACATTGAGTTGCACCATTAAAAGAATCTGTTTACCTCCTAGTTCTCCTTCCCCAACCACAGTACTGTGGGTTCCTTGGGCTGAGGATGTCACCTCCTTCCAGTACCCAGTTACCAGCACAGAGCTGACCCCAAGAGATGCCTGAGCAGGTTGTGGAATGACAGAGGAAGGAGCAGCTTGCAGCTAGATTGGAGATGGTACTTACTCTCCAGCTCTGTCAGTACTGGTCCTTCAGCAGGGAATCAGCAAGTGGGGACATGTGAGGAGGGTCTGTCTTGTGGTGTGTGGATTGAACAAGCCTAGCCCGGGGATGTTGCTGAGGAAGTCAAGCAATTTCAGCTGAATGGAGCCAAAGACAGAAACTTCACATCAGCCACAGGGAGATAGTCATAGGCCAGTTTCTTCATGCAAATTGTTGCACTGATGACTTCCAGATTATCCATTTGGAGAAATTGAGACCTTTTGTTAGATGCAGTTGTCACCTTTCTGAGCTAGGATTTGACCTAAGCAACCACTAAAATTTCCTCCACTGACTCCCATTACACGTATGGTATGGAGACTCTGTAAGCACATGAGTTCTACTTCCATAACTCCTATTACCCCCAGTGCCCAATCAGCCCTCAGCTTCTACTGGCCTAATATATTGCAGCCAGATTTTCTTCCTCCTACAAATCTGAGACTTCATTTATTCAGTACCTCTGTTATTGGCTAAGTCAGGAATTAGACTGCCATGTGCAGTAGGTTAAAGCTAATCTTTCAGGCCAGGTGACAACTGACATATGAGACAGGGAAGCATATGGGCTCTGAGCCAAGCTACCTGGATTCTACCCTAGCTCTGCCAATACTTCAAATACTTGCTCTATCCCTCTGTTTCCTCATCTGTAAACTGGGGATGAAGATGATGATGATGAGTATAGTCCTGTGTCAGTTATACTAATCTCCGAATGTCACCTGGCACAGACCAAAGGTCACAGTTATACTCTGATTATAAAAATTAAATACAATGGTAATGCCTATAAAGGACAAGCATGTTTGTAGGTTACCAAACCTGCTGCACTAAATAGGGCTGAAATCAGTCAGGAACCATGAGAGGGGAACTCCTGTATGGAAATCCACGACTGAACACCCTCATCTTTTCCCAGATCCTCCCCCCTGTCTTGGAGACTACATGTCAGCACAGCCCACAGCACCTGACAATTGATTGCCTGTGCTGACCCTTTATTTTCTGCCCACTGTCATGGTATCTCACTTGGGGACATTTTTTTGTGACCCCAGTTCCCAGGAGGAGGCAGGTGAAACAGCTGTCGTGGACCACTGCCTGTGTCCAGTAGACACTGCGTATCAGCCTACGGAGTTACTGCCACGGAAACTATGGGCACCATCTCCTCTATGAGTCTCAGTTGGTCCTGAGCACACCTGCTCAGGAAGAGATGGCTGTCCGAAGCAGTTGTCTGGAAAGTTGACAGACCAGTGGGTGTCAGAGTGACTCAGAGAGAGAGGAAGCACCAGGCAGAACAGGGACCCTGGAGGATGAGGTGACACAACTTCATGGTAAGAGGCTCCCACAATGCAGTCCCTGCACCAGATCCAAGGAGAAGGGCGGCTGCAGCGATGGACATGACCTGGGAACACAAAGATACCTCCTTAAGTCATTGGACTACACTTCTCAGTGTAGGGCCTGATTGAGTTTCCCACCTCTACTCCCACTAGAACATAAGTTCCATGAATCTGGAACCCCTATCAGAGCTGTGCTCCTCAGAAACATTTCCAAACTCCTAATTACTGCTGATATCCAGAACTATCTCCATGTGGCCATCCTACCCTCCACTACCTCTCCAAGCACTGGACCTAAAGAGGAAGCAAGGTTTTATTGATTTGTCTTTCCCTTGGTTACAGCTCCAAAATGGTCAGGAGCTACAAGAGCTTCAGAAAAGGGCAGAGAAATATCCATGCACCAGTCCTCGCTGGCTATGGGGGAGCGAGGTTAGCCTCGTAGTCTATGACCCAGACTACATGAAGCTGATCCTGGGGCGATCTGGTGAGTGCAAACCCACTTGTCTGTTGGAGGGGTTCTTCCCTCTTGGATACATTCCTGGGGTACTGTGACATTTCAGGAAAGACTGCTGACTCAGTCATAAATATCTGATCCTCTACCTGCCATTCTTCCAGCCGAAGACCAGCAGAAACCCAAATACAGTTACTCAATTTGAAAGTTTAAACACATGTAAGGAATTACCTCTTTTGCTTTCTCCTTCCTTCCTTCCTTCCTTCCTCTCTCCCTCCCTCCCTCCCTCCCCCACCCCTCCCTCCCTCTCTCCTTCTATCTTTCTTCCTTTCTTTCTCCTTCCTTCCTTTCTTTCCTCTCTTTCCTCCTCTATTTTTCTCTCTTTTTTAAAAATTTAATTTAATTTCTTTTCAGTGTAACAGAATTCACTGTTTATGCACCACACCCAGTGCTCCATGCCATACATGCCCTCCATAATACCTACCACCAGGCTCCCCCAACCTCCCACCCCCACCCCTTCAAAACCCTCAGATTGTTTTTCAGAGTCCATAGTCTCT